CTCCCTTCCTTCCTTCCCATTTTGTGGGGCTGGGGGGGTGGGGCGCAGGGGCCTGCTGCCTCCTTTTCATGGGCATAGATTAATCTAGTTAACTCCGTGACACTGAGGGAGCTGGGCTTGTTTAGCCTGGAGAAAAGAAGGCTGTGGGGTAACCTCACTGCAGGCTTTCAGTACCTAAAGAGAGCCTACAAACAGGAGGGGACTTAACTCTTTAAAAGGGTAAATAACAGCAGGATAGGGGGAAATCATTTAAGTTGATGGAGGGAAGATTTAGGTTGGATGTCAGGGGGAAGTGTGGTGAGGTGCTGAAATGGGCTGCCCAGAGAGATTGTGGATGCCCCATCCCCAGAGGCCTTCAAGGCCAAGTTGGATGAAGCACTTGGCAACCTGGTCTAGTATTAAATGTGGAGGTTGGTGGCCCTGCATGTGGCAGGGGGTTTCAAGATTCATGATCCTTGAGGTCCCTTCCAACCTGGACCATTCTGTGATTCTGTGATTCTGTGAACATATTTTGTTATGCTATTTTTTTTCCTGTTGTTGTTTGTTTGTTTTGTTGTTGTTGTTGTTGCTTGTTTTTAATTTTCATATGGATTCAAAATAATTGGTAGTTATTCATATGTGCTCAGGTAAGCAATTCTTCTGTTTACTTTCTAAAATTAAATTAGATTCAAGAATGGAACATATTTTACCAGTTGAGTGCAAAGTAAATTCCTGTTATAAAATGGCAGCAGAGTTAACAAATGAAGCTGTGCATGTATAAGGCTAGATAGGTTAAACAGCAGTAGTATTATTTTCTGCACCCAGCATTAGAGGAATTGTCTTTACAGATTCAGGTGCTGCCATGTTTACTTTCAGTCCACAATGCTTCTTGCAGGGTTTTATCATGTTATCTTTTATAAAAGAAAGTTTCTTACTCCTTTTGCTACAGGTGTGTACAGGTAAAGACATCTGAGATAGAAATTACTCTCTTGGTAAGAATACTTTCTGCTATTTATCTGCTCATTAGTAACAAATAAATACATAAAACTGAATCTAAACCTCAGTAAAACAAAAAGGTTTTTGATATTTGAATATCCTACTACTTATAAAGAGAAGTTGAGTTTAATTTTTAGATATATTTCCTTTTGTATGACAGAACCATTTTTAAAAGGAAATACTTCATTTGTCTAGTTTGAGGGTTTTTGTTGTTGTTGTTGTTTGTTTGTTTGTTTTTAAAGTATCATTCTGTAGTGCATAGTAGGGCAGATGCAACAGAACAAGAGAACAAATTCACCGTTAGAATGTTTCCTGCTATTTACAGGATATTATGGTTTGATCAGGATATCATGTTTTGATCAATTTGGTGCTTCAGATTTCTGACGATCAAGACAGTTTAGGATTTTGCAAAGGAAAACTTTGATTCTGGAAAAGAAAATAAAATTCCTGGATAGAACCCAAATCCACTGAATTTAGAGATTTCTTTTTGTCATAAACCTATACTAAAACGTGTATGTCCAAAGAGAGAGCTGTTGCTAAGCAACAACATTCCCCTTTTCCCCTCTTTCAGTTTCATGCTCAAACAAAGGCTCACTGAACAAGCAGCCTTGCCAAAGAGCACTAAAAAATGAAAAGACAGTACAGTAACAACAATTTTCATACCTCACAGAACCCAACTTTGGAGATTTTCCTGAGTAAGACATAAAGCAGCAGGGAAAGCAAGGCACATGGATGCTTTTTCATTTTACTCAAATTAAAATTATTCATTGTAAAATGAGGAGAAAGATGTAGACTCTTTTTTTTTTTTTTTTTTTTTTTTTTTTTAAATGAACCACAAAACCCATTATTGCCTCCTGACAAGGAAAGAGAAATTTCTCTTAACTGAAAGAGAAATTTCCTCTACAGAACTGCTCCAAAAATAGGTATTTTGTGTCTTCTTAAGTATGCAGACGTTTCTGTAAAGACTGACTCTTTCAATGTGTGCTAAGTCCTATCTGTACAAAATTTTTAAGAATTTGTCCATAAAAGTCTACACAGCCATCAAGATACAAATTAATTAGACTAACAAGTTATATCCTTATTATATTTCAATTGACCATAATCCTCTGATAAATTCATTTCTTATTGGGGCTACTAGAAATTTTTTCACAGTGTGAGTTCGATAGAAGTACAAAATTCAAAAATAGAATTCTCATTTAGGTGTTTGTATTTTAATTTGGAGGGGTTCAATTTTTTTCTCTGTTTAAGACTTTAATGCTGCTACCATGTTATTTGGATAAAAAGCACTAAATATTATCTGTACTAATCTTACTACGCATAAAGTTAAAGAATGAAGAGTGTACCTCTGTTTGTTTAAGACATGATGCTATAAATACTACTACTACTACTACTGCTACAGTAAATACTACTGTTATAAAATTATAAACTATAATTTTAACACAGGGAACCTATGCCGAAGGTAGCATGAAAAATGCTCCATGCTAGAAGGCCAAGAGCAAGAACATAATATTTTGGTTTGTAAGTTCAACACTTCAGTCAGCCTGTGCTTTTTTAATACCAAAATAATATTAGAGGAGTGACAATGATAACAAATTACTTCTCGAATGAAAAAGCTGACCCCATCATAGATCAAGAAAGTTAAGAAAATCAAAATTAGAATCAACAGCAAGTCAGAAAAAGGAAAAACAGCTGAAATATTAGATGTGGCTAAGATATTATTCACCCATTAATGCATCAGGCTTGTATCTGTAAATCTTCAGAAGTTAGGAGGGCTTATAAGAAACTCTGAAAACAATTCCTTTTATACATAATTACTTTTTAAATGTGCATTTCACTATTATGTAAAATCATAGTTCTCTCTTGGAAGCATTATTATAAATATAATATTTTGTATACTGACAGGAAAATTGGAGAACATTTAGAAGCTCATGCATGCAATTTAGTATTCTCTAAAATTAAACAGATATATATTTACTGACTTTTAGCAGATTTTTTTTTAACTTCCTTTTAAGTTAATATCAAATATGGAGGAAAGCATTATCTTATATAATTTTGTCTGTCTTAAAATCATAATTACATCCGAACTATCTTGACAACACGTAACACTAGCAAATTGCAACATTTATCAGCTTTATCTCATTACCACAACATGAAAGAAATAAAGTAAAAAGTTAAACATATTTATTCTGCAGGAAAATGTATCTACATTATTATTCAACAGGGAAAAAATAAAATGTTTCAGAAATTCTCATGATGGATATAGGTCAGTGATAAATTAATTATTGGAAGCTTGAATATGTTGGCTGTGAGAACAGTGTAAGATTAAATTTACCTACACATATAAGTGACTCAAATATTAATTGACATTTATTTATTTGATAAGCCAGATTTTATATTTGTTCACAAATATGGCAT